AGATCACCTACACTGTCTCTCCTATTTGCCTGCAGATCAAGACACAAAAATTCAAGTCTGGAAGACTCTGAAGTGGCGAGTTCATTTGAAGGGTGCAGGTCACATTCATTCCTCTGTGTTAGCTGTGCTTTTTGTGCAGTCAGACTTGGCATTATCTACCAATATATAACAGCCTTGAGGGTATCTCAAGAGCAGTATTAATTCACAATACTCAGGAATTAGGCAGTGGAGAATAGGGGGCATGGAGGTACAAATAAATGATTTTTCCATTTACTTACAATTCTGTACTAGGGTCCTTTAGAGAGCCTGACGGTTTCACACCAGTTGAGATCTGGGCAGAGGACCTGAGAATAATGTGAAATCTCTTGAAAGATCGAATGGTGTAATGGAAAGGACATTGGTGGGGGTCTGAGAAACCAGGGAGTTGATCCTTTGCCTCCAGGACTTATTACTAGCAGTGTAAAGAGGTCTGTAACTTGATCGAGTCACTAAACTATCTCTGAACCTTTTTTTTAAAAAGATAACACCAACCTCTACCCTCCTGGTGTATTAAGAGTAATTGAAATAATATTTGTAAGTCAATTAGCGTAGAGCAGGCACTCAGTAAAGGTTAGTTGGTTAGGCCGGGCGTGGTGGCTCACGCTTGTAGTCCCAGTACTTTGGGAGGCCGAGGTGGTAGGATCAGCTGAGGTCGGGAGTTCGAGACCAGCCTGACCAACATGGAGAAACCCTATCTCTACTAAAAAATAAAAGAATTAGCCGGGCGTGGTGGCATATACCTGTAATCCTAGCTACTTGGGAGGCTGAGGCAGGAGAATCATGTGAACCCGGGAGGCGGAGTTTGCGGTGAGCTGAGATCACACCCATTGCATTCCAGCCTGGGTGACAAGAGTAAAACTCCGTCTTTTTTTTTAAAAAAAAAAAAAAAAAAAAGTTGGTTAGTTTTCTCTATTCTCCCCACCCTGCGTCTAACTCAGGCAGAGATGTTACTGGTCTTTGTAACTACATTAATCAGTGAGAAACTGCTTGGGTTTCATGTGCAATGATATTGGAAAGAAAATACATTTAATGAAGTGCATTAAGTTTAGCAAACTGCCTTATGCTTTTGTTTTGAAAGGAAGAAGACATCTGTAAAATATGAACTGCATGGGAAAATAAATTTAAAATGCATAAAGTAATGGAAAGGCAATTACATTTATAATTGTTCAAAGAAATAGAATATGCTGTGGTCAGATTTTTAACAGTGGAAATTTTGCATAATAAACTCTGGTAACCCTAGGAGGAGATCATCAGGAAGGGGAAAATGAGTAACAGAAATGTTTTAAAATGAAGAAGTGATATAACTATAATTCTTAGCACAGGTGTAAAGCATGCTATTGGAAATACATCAGATTGGTTATGCAAATAAGCCCCAATTTAATCTGTTACAAACATTTTCAACTGATGAAATTGGGCATGAAATGTTGGAAAAATTGGTGCATTTAAGTTTTAACTTTCCAGAGAGCCTACTATTCTGACCATAAGAAACATCATCTTTAAAATAACCTGTAGCCGTTGATCTAGTAATTTTGGATAAAATAATGGAACAGCTCTAATGGAAGAATATATAGTTTATGCCAGTCTATTCATAGTAATATATAAAAAATACATAGGCAAGTAAATGTAAATATGTTCGTATATATTCTGTGAAAAATGTACACATATAAACAAAATCCTATTGCGATCTGGCAAAGCAAAAAGCAAAATAGAATAATATGTACTACTAAAAATCATAAGTCCACAAACTATCAATATTCAGAAATAGGTAAATGAAATAAATTTAAAAAGAAAGTCATCCTATTATATCTTTTTATTTTGTATTCTTTTGAGATGGACTTTCACTCTTGTAGCCAAGGTTGGAGTGCAGTGGCGTGATCTCGGCTCACTACAACTTCCACCTCCTGAGTTCAAGCGAGTTTTGTGCCTTAGCACAAGTAGTAGCTGGGATTAGGTGCCCACCACCACGCCTGGCTAATTTTTGTATTTCTAGTAGAGATGGAGTTTCACCATATTGGCCAGGTTAGTCTTGAACTCCTGACCTCAGATGAACTCCTGATCTCAGGTGATACGCCTTTCGTGGCCTCCCAGAGTGCTGGGATTATAGGCGTGAGCCACCTTGCCCAGCCTATTACATCTTATTTCCAGTTTTGGCTGCTGTTTCAGGGATATAGAGAAGCACAAGACTGATAGCTTCAGGGAAATGAAGTTCCAGCGTGGGAAGATAGGTAACAATGTGCAAATATTGACTAAATAAATTTGGATGAATAAGTGCTGTGAAGGAAGTAAGACGGCAGTAGAATGGAGAGGATCACGGTGCCAAGGACTGGCCCTATCCTAGGAAGGCTGAGGCAGGGAGGATTCCTGAGCTGAGCTGTGTTGTTGGAGGAGTGGGCCAGTAACGATGTGGGCTCAGGGAACAGAAAGTTAAGGGTTTTCAGACTGGAGTGAGTTTGGTATGTGTGAACCAAGAGCAGCCAGTGTGTCTAGATCAACAATTGTATGTTGACCTGGTTTATATTAAGAACTAAGTTATTTTATTTACTTACTTTTATTATTTTGAGATAGTCTCACTCTGTCATCCAGGCTGGAGTGCAGCGGTATGATCTTGGCTCACTGCAACCTCCGCCTCCTGGGTTCACACCATTCTCCTGCCTCAGCCTCCTGAGTAGCTGGGACTACAGGCATCCGCACCACGCCTGGCTAAGTTTTGTATTTGTAGTAGAGACGGGGTTTCACCATGTTGGCCAGGCTGGTCTCCACCTCCTAACCCCAGGTGATCTGCCTGCCTCAGCCTCCCAAAGTGCTGGAGTTACAGGCGTGGGCTACCTTGGCCAGTTGTTTTTTTTCTTTTTATGGAGACAGGGTCTCCTCTGTTGCCTAGGCTGGAGTGCAGTGGCACCATCTTGGCTCACTGCAATCTTCTCCTCCTGGGTTCAAGTGATTCTCATGCCTCAGCCTCCCAAGTAGCTGGTATTAAAGGCGTGCACGACCATGCCCAGCTAATTTTTGTAATTTTAGTAGAGATAGGGTTTCAGTTTCACCATGTTGGCCGGGCTAGTCTCAAACTCCTGGCCTCAAGTGATCTGCCCACCTTGGCCTTCCAAAGTGCTGGGATTACAGGTGTGAACTACCACACTGGCCACATTTTACATTTTAACACAACCAAATTTTATTTTTCTTTATCAGTTATCTTTTCAATCACCCCCAAACCTAATGACTAAAAGAGCAGCCACTTATTTCAGTGTGTGCTTTACTCACTGGACAGTTACCTGTCCCTCTGAACGGCCTCATGCATGTATAGGGAAGCTCTGCCTCTGCAGGCTGGCTGGCTGCTGCGGCAACTAGGGGGCCACTGAGCCAGGAGTCATTCATCAGTGAGCCGGCGAGCCTGGGCTTGTGCTCATGGAGGGCTTAGGGTTCCGGTAGAGTGGAGCAGAGGTGTGTAACATTCCTTGAGGTGGAGGCTCTGAATTGGCGCAGTGTCACTTTCTCTGTATTCTATTGGCTACAAGACTAGCCCAGGTTCAAGGGGTGGGAAATAGATGAGTTTCCATGGGAGGAACTGCAATGTCAGTGCACTGAGATGTGCCTACAAGGAGGGCTGGAGGATTGGTCCATGCTTGCAGTCCATCCCATTTCACCTTATGCTTGGTGCTTTTCTTCTATACTTTAGGTGTAAGAAATTACAATCCTGTATGATCCAACATTTTACGGTTTTGCCTTTTCATATTTAGGTCTTTCAGTGTTTACATATTATTTTAAAAAATTGAGAACAGCACGATAAACATGAGGAAAAATGAAGTTTCAACAACTGACAGTGGGGGATGTTAAAAGGGTTAGAGGCTGTGCACGTGGCAGAGCAGGGGCTATTTGGGGAATCTTTGTATCTTCAGCTCAGTTTTACTGTGAGCCTAAAACTGCTTTAAAAATAGTCTGTTAAACAATTGTATTACCATAATATGACTCATCTTCATTATGACAGTAATGTGTGAAGGAGACGTACAGGAAGACAGGAGCTGTGTGAAGTGCAGAAATCAGTGAACACCTTCTTAGAAAGTGCTTCAAACCAGAGGCAGGATTGTATACTTGTCAGACTGTGGCCTTTGGACCAGTGGTTCTGAAGAATAGTTAAGCCTTTGCTGCTATTGTTTGTAGCTGTGCCAACCTTACGCAGATTACTCAACATCTTTGAGGTTTGGCCTCTTTGTAAAATGGTATAATAATCTTTATATATCTCTTGAGAATTTTTGAATGAAATGAAATATGCATATCACCTAGCATGGGGCAAGGCCTGTAAAATAAATGTTAGCCTATTTTAGAAGTAGTTTTCCACTCTTCTGTTAATCTCCAATTAAGATGAGGACCTCTGTAGGTCTTTTGCAGAATTAATTGTTCCTACCATTTCTTCTTGGCCTTCAGTTACCTCCCTGATGCTGTTTTCTATGAACATTCTTTTTGAATCTTCTGGGTTTGTCTGACTGGAGTGGTTATTTGGCAATCGGTTAAGAGCAGCTGGTTGGCTGACCTTGGGCTTTTGAGATCCTTATGTTTGAAACCATGGCAGGCATCCAGATCGCATCAAGCCACTCTCAGGTGTGTGTGTTCCTAATCACAGCCTGAACTTTAGAATTGGGCACGTCCTGACTGGAGTGAGCAGAGAAAGGGAGAATACTTTAGGGAACAATGTGAAAGAATCAGATCTGAGGAATAAGAAGGTGGGGGAGGGAATAAACATTTCTCTAGCGTCTGTTCTGTGGCAGGGTATAGCCTAGAAGGCAAAGGCTACCTGGAGCGTGCCAGGTTGAAGATGGTGGGCCATTTGGCAAGGGAGTTGGGTCATGCCTTCTCATAGATCGAGTGGAGGACAGCTCTACAGCTTTACCAACTTTAGGAGGAATAAATTTCTTTTATGGCTTGACTTAAAACAATAACCCAAGTCATCGTTATACTTTTCTTCCTAGGTTTGTCAGTGGCCCAGCGGAAATTTGCTCATTCACTCAGAGACTTTAAGTTTGAGTTTATCGGTGATGCTGTGACAGATGATGAACGATGCATAGGTAAATAAACATGAGATTTTGGTTTGTTTTCCTTTGCCATGGCCACCAGATAATCATTCCTTTCTTGTTACAGATGCTTCCTTACGTGAATTTTCAAATTTTTTGAAGAATCTGGAGGAACAGAGAGAAATTATGGTGAGTTGAGAGGGGTGTAAATTAATAAGTCAGATTTCAAGGGGGAAAAATCTGGTTTTGGAAGCTGGTTCTGGTAGAAGTTGTGATGCATTTATCTCTGAGTACAGTAGTGCATTGTAATGGAAAGATGAGGTTTCAGGAGCCCTGATTTCTAGTTCCATGAGGGGACTGACCACGGTCAGAACTTGGAGAAACTGCAGGACCTCCACCAAGGCCTTGCTTTTGCATCTGTAAAGTGGACAGTGGGACTACATCACTGCTTTCTAGCTTTTTGTTGCAGCAGAGCACTTTCAGTTATGTAGACTCTCATGCAGAAGCTTAATATATTAGGGGAATAAAAGCAGAAAAGCTTACGTAGAAGCAGAGGACAGCTGGGCGATGTTAGCTCCTGACTCATACCCCTGTAGATTTCTAGGCTGCGTGGAAAGGGAGAGAACCTGGGCCTTAGAGGTCTTTGAGATCCCACTTTGCATCAAGATTCATGATCATAACAAGAATAAGAAGAACTACCCTTGGCCAGGCGTGGTGGGTCATGCCTGTAATTCCAGCCCTTTGAGAGACTGGGTGGGTGGATTGCACAAGCTCAGGAGTTTGACACCAGCCTGGCCAACATGGTAAAACCCCATCTCTACAAAAATACAAAAACTAGGCTGGGTGCAGTGACTCATGCCTGCAATCCCAGCACTTTGGGAGGCTGCTGTGGGCAGATCACCTGAGGTCGGGAGTTTGAGACCAGCCTGACCAACATAGAGAAACCCCGTATCTACTAAAAAAATACAAAATTAGCTGGGCGTTGTGGCACATGCCTGTAATCCCAGCTACTCGGGAGGCTGATGCAGGAGAACCTTGAACCCAGTAGGTAGATGTTGTGGTGAGCCAAGATCGCACCATTGCACTCTAGCCTGGGCAACAAGTATGAAACCCCGTCTCAAAAAAAAAAAAAAAACAAAAAAACCCAAAAAAAAACTAGCCAGATGTGGTGGCATATGCCCGTGGTCCCAGCTACTCGGGAGGCTGAGGTGGAAGGATCACTTGAGCCCAGGAGGCTGAGGTTGCAGTGAGCTGAGATTGTGCCACTGCCCTCCAGCCTGGGTGACAGAACAAGACCCTGTCTCAAAACAAAACAAAACAAAAACTGTCCCCCATGGAGTGCTCTTCATATGCAGTGCTGTGCTGAGTGCCTTAAGTGTATGATCTCAATTAACACGCACTCAGCTGTAAATTTGGGAGTTACTGAATAATTGCCTGCTTTTCTGAAAAGCTTACATTACCTTCCTAATGATATTCTTTAATTAAACCAGATTTACAGCAGAATTGCTACTAGGTTATGACACACTATCTATTCTCACCATTTATTTCAGGCTTAAAAAAATACAGATTCAGGCTGGGCGAGGTGGCCCATGCCTGTAATCCCAGCAGGCCAAGGTGGGCGGGTCACCTGAGGTTAGGAGTTCGAGACCAGTCTGGCCAACTTGGTGAGACCCTGTCTCTACTAAAAATACAAAAAAATTAGCTGGGTGTGGTGGTATGCACCTGTAATCCCAGCTACTTGGGAGGCTGAGGCAGGAGAATCACTTGAACCTGGGAGGTGGAGGTTGCAGTGAGCCAAGAGTACACCACTGCACTCCAACCTTAGCAACAGAGTGGGACTCTGTCTCAAAAAAAAAAAAAACAACAAAAAAAACAGATTCTTTTTTCTATATTCTTGAAAATAAGTACTGTCTAGAATTATGTTACAGTGTGTGTGTGTGAGTGGGTTTAGATGTGGTAGAAATAATACTGGACAGATTAGCTAAGTTGGTTTACCTTGACTGTGTGCCAGTGTATTAGTCTGTTCTTACACTGCTATGAAGAAATACCTGAGACTGGGTAATTTATAAAGGAAAGAGTTTTAATTGACTCACAGTGCTGCATTGCTGGGGAGGCCTCGGGAAACTTAGAATCATGGCGGAAGGCAAAGGAGAAGCAGGCACCTTCTTCACAAGGCGGCAGGATGGGCTGAGTGCAGGCGCGGGAAATGCCAGATGCTTATAGAACCATCAGATCTCACAGGAACTCACTATCATGAGAACAGCATGGGGGAAACCACAAGTTACCTCTACCTGGTCCTGCCTTTGACATGTGGGGATTATGGAGTTTACACTTTCAGGTAAGATTTGGGTGAGGGGACAGAGCCAAACCATATCAGCTGGGAGCTGTTCTAAGCTATTTACCTAATACAAAGTCACTGAATTCTCACATCAACCCTATGAGATAGATTCTGCTATTGTTCCCCATTTAACGGATGAGGAAACTGAGGCACTTTACCTTGCCCTAGATCACATGGCATCTAGGAGGTAGAGCTGGTTTGTGTTAAGAAGCTGGCACTCTGAACTATCCTCCCTGTCACTGCAACTGGCTTCATAGGTGTCACTCTAATTTCCTGGGTGGTGGCTGGTGGGTGTTTATGTTGGGTAAGGCTGCAGGAGGACACTGATTTGGATTTAAAAAGTGACAGAGGGCCAGGCATGGTGGCTGATGCCTGTAATCCCAGCACTTTGGGAGGCTGGGGTGGGTGGATCACCTGAGGTCAGAAGTTTGAGACCAGCCTGGCCAACCTGGTGAAACCCTGTCTCTACTAAAATTACAAAAATTAGCTGGGCATGGTGGTGGGCACCTGTAATCCCAGCTACTCGGGAGACTGAGGCAGGAGAATCACTTGAACCCGGGAGGCGGAGATTGCAGTGAGCTGAGATCGCGCCACTGCACTCCATCCTGGGCAACAGAGCAAGACTCCATCTCAAGAAAAAAAAAGTGACAAAGACATATGTCCTCAAAAGCCCTAATGTAATTTGCACTCATTCCTAAATTTTGAGGTAATTTGTGTGTATATAATGCAGATACTGTAGAGGGTATGTGAAGACCCGTGGTCCCATGAGGTTTTTCTGGCACACACTGACAGATTCAATCATTATTCATGTGATCCTGTAGTCATCAATTTTTCAGCTATTTAGGGAAGACTAAATAAAATGGTGAATAAAAATAGCGTCGTGATGTCACCTTTCTAGTACATGGAGTAGATGTGTGGGCTGGTGAGGTACGTGTTTTTAGTTTACGTTAAGAGTGTCAATTTTTCGTTCTTAACCCTCTTTGACAGTTGTACTTTCCTGGCATCCTGAACATTTAGCACATACCTATTGATCTCTTTTTATGTTCCAGTTGCTGTTGAGAAACTCAGGACATAGGTAAGGGCAAAGAAAGCAAAAGTCCCTGTCTTCATGGAGGTTAGATTCTAGGCAGGGGTAGTGAAGTAGAAATAAACCTGTAATCCATTGGCAGGCAGTGAAAAATGCTACAAAACAGTACAGGGCAAGGAGCCAGGTGGGGCGGGGCCACAGCGTATCTGGAGTGGTGAGGTGCTGACTACCTTTTCAGTAGGGTACTGCACAAAGGGCATCATCCTGGTGTCTGGAGGAAGAGTTCCGAGCAGAGTGGTGCTGGATTTTAGCTCTGCAGAAATAGTGTGTGACCGTTGTCAGGCTCAGTATTCTGTTTCTGTTTTAGGTTCCTTGAAATGGAGTGATGAGGTCCAAAAACGGGAACATGGTATTGGCTCCAGGCTGTGTGGTGTAGACAGCATGGTTTGCAGAGCTGTTGTTAGCCAACTGACTGGTTTAATCTCCAGCTGTGATGGAGGTTGATAGGGTCTCTGTGTTAGACGAGGTTGGGTTCCCGTGCAGGGTAGGAATGAGAATAGGGTGGTGTCTGTATAAGGCCAAGAACCTTAGAGAGGAGTGCTGTGGTGTGTCACACACAACCCATTGTGGGAACAGAAACACCTGCTGGAAAGCAGGACGCTGTCCAAAGCTGGGATGGGTGGTAGCCACGGCCAACCACGGAATTAACAGGACACCTCCTAATGCTTTCTTCCTTTTTAGCTTGGAAAATTTCAAACATGTACCAAAGTTGAGAGAAATATACAATGAAACTACATGGACTCAACACCCAGCCTCAGACCAGTCTCATTTCTCCTGTGATCCTTACTCCCCCTGGCCCCCTGCTATCCTCATTATTTTGACAGAAAGCCCAGTTTCATTCACAAATACTTCAGTATATATCTCAAAAAGTGGACACTTAAAAAAACACAGTGTCTTTATCACAATCAGCAATTTCTTAATTTTATGAAAAATTAGGTCATATTCAAGTTTTCCTGATACTCATTCAAATTCTGTCTTTCCCTTCCCCACCGCCACCCCCAATAACAGTTGGTCTGTTTGAATCTGAATCCGAACATATTACATTTAATTGATACATTTCCAAGTCACTTTATAGGCCCTTTTCCCCATCTGCTTTTTTTCCCCTTTACAAGAATTCCTGATCCTTTTATATTTGCCTCAGAAACCTTTAAAATAGTACTTTCCTAAGTTATCAGTGAGTTGGAATAATGAAATTAGTAAAAGTTGAAAAGTTGGACACTTTTAAGCCATATTGACATTATTTAGGTACTTCTCATCTTGATAGTCACTGATCACTTTTTTTTAAGTGGAATCACTGTGGCTACCTTTGTTTATTTAAATACCTTTGAATACGTCCTAAAACATAACTGATGCATTACTAAACATTTGCCTGAAACTTTTGGGTCAGAATAGATACTTGCCTTAAGAAATTTCCAGTGTGATACTGGAGAAGAAGTGGGAAAGAGCTAATTAAAATAGCCTACACTAAGTGCTTCCCAAGACAAGGAATGGGAAAAGAAAACAATATACAAAGTACACCAGCAAAGATAGTGTGACTCACATGGAGTGGGCAGCCCCTAAGCTTGTGGTTGTTAGGAAAGGGTTCATGGGGTGGAGACACAGCAGAGGGCCTTTGTATAGTTTAGCAAGCCCATACCTCCGACACTGGTATAAGGAGAAAAGGAATGTCTTTAAGCAGCTAAAATGGTTTCCAGTACATTCTGAGAACTTTGAAAGACTCTTGTTTTACTTAAAAAATTGTTTTAACTTAAAAGTTTTACAAAC